TTTTTTTTTTTGAGATTGTTGTCCTCGTTTTTTTTCGTTTTTTCTTTTTTTTCTTTTTTCCTGTTGTGTACTACCGGTTGTCCGAGGCTCGGCAATAAAGTCGAGGCTCGGGAATGACCGGCCTACCGGTAGCCTGAGCCACGGGCCTTGACGACTGGTATCCCATAGGCAAAGGTCATATCTCGCAGCCAAAAGTCATATCCACAGGCAAGGGTCACAACCAACAGGCAAAAGTCACGTCTCAAAGTCAAAAGGCATATTCTACAGGCAAAGGTCATGTCTCATAGACGAAGGGGCACATCCCACAGATGAAAAGTCGCGACTCACAGGCCCAAGCAGCAGCACACCAAGGAAAATTTGTGGAGGTACCAGGCCTCGACATTCTGAAGCAAAAAGGCCACGGGCATGTGGTACCAGATCCAAGTCAAGCCAAAGGAAGCAGAGGCTGAGACGAGTCCAGACTCAGTCCAAGTCAATATAAGGACTGGCCAGCCACATTTCAGGGCAGATTGCTCATTCCCGAGAAGTGTGGAACTGCTGCTGAAGCGCTTGTGCGCTATCTGCGAGTGGCATCCGTGAGAGTCCTGCCGGGCAGCGCTGTGCTGAGAGGGAAGGCGGCCACAGCCGCACAGCTACTAGTAGAGGATAGAGCTTAGTAGTGGATGTATTCAGAGTCAATATCTTCAAGTAGAGAGAGGTGAGAGGGAGAGAGAGCGCATGCATGAAGAAGACAGAGAGAGGGAGAGAGTGAGGCAGAGGGAGAGAGAGAAGAGAGTCACCTACCTTAGATGAGGGTGCTGGAATTGGAATGTCGAACTCTGCGCTGATGGGCACTTGGTGACTGGAACTCTGAAACTGTCTAATATGATAAATTATTGGAATTTCCAAGCTGCGCTTATCTGGACTTTGCATCTCTGGTCTCCAGTGTGGATTCGTGTGATCTCTCATTGTGTGTGTGTGCTCAAGGTGACGAGCAGTGAGGCTCAACACAAAACTACGCAGGTTGGATCATACCAGGAGAACTGGGTCATACCATATGGACCGGGGGTACTATGTGGGATGTGATTTGGGCAGTACTATGTACGGTGGGTCATACTATGTGGACTGCATGGTACTATGTGGGCAGGGTGGTATTATGTGGCCTGCGTGATACTAGGTTGGTTGGGTGGCACTAACTGGGGTGGATCATAATACGTGGACTAGGCAGTATTATGTGGCCCAGGTGATACTACGTGGGTTGGGTGGCACTACCTAGGGTGGTGACCGCGGGTCATAGTATGTGGATTAGATGGCACTATGTGGGCTGACCAGTATAGCACAGCACAATTCGGCCATGGCCAGGTGGTGCTATATCGGCTGAGTGGTATTATGTGGCCTCAATGATGCTATGTGGGTTGGATCATACGGGTGAACTGGGTCATATACCATATGGAACAGGTGGTACTATGTGGGATGTGGGTTGGACAGTACTATGTGGGGCAGGTCATATTATGTGAACTGGTTGTACTATGTGGGCAGGGTGGTATTATGTGGCCTGGGTGACACTAAGTCGGTTGGGTGGCTTGTCCTTCGGGACATCCGTTAAAACTGGAACGATACAGAGAAGATTGTGCAAGGATGACACACATAAATCAATAAATGATCCAAATTGGGAAAAAAAAAGTGGGTTGGGTGCCACTATGTGGGATGAGTCATACTATGTGGACTGGGCAGTGTCAGGTGGCCCAGGTGATACATTGTGGGTTGGGTGCCACTACCTAGGGTGGGTGACTGTGGGTCATAGTATGTGGACTGGATGGCAGTATGTGGGCTGACCAGTACAGTACATGGGCGATGCTACATAAGCTGGGTGGTATGAACGACCGGAGAAAAAAAGAAAGAAAGAAAAAAGCAGCAAAACACACACACACACACACACCCAAAAAAAAAAAAAAAAAAAAAGCCCATGTGGGCCATGGTGTGGCTGAATTGTACACCGATGAACTGTTGATAGGCAGACCTGGGCTTGAACCCTACAAAGAGAAATAAGAAAACAACCTGGACATTCTTTTCTTGGGGTGAGCTCCAGCCGGATTCAAGCATATGAGCTTGTTGCTAACAGTCACCTGTCTTCTTCCCAAACAGACATAAAACTCGCCAATCACATTTCTAGCAGTCACCTGTCTTCTTCCCAAACCTACATAAAACTCGCCAATCGCATGCCTGCTGCGTACTTGTATTCAAACACCCACAGCATGCATGCTATCTACTTGTATTCCAACATCCAACAGAAAACGACAAATGCACTATTGCATGCTATGTACTTGTATCCAAGCATCCACCCGAAAATGACAAATACACACAGAACCCGCCATATTTCCAACATCAACCCAAATACAACAAACAAGCATAGAACCCAGCAGCAGCACGCCCCACACAGTCACCCTGGGCCCAACGGGGAAAGGGGTCTTGCGGGACACCGTTATGCGAGGTCCGCTACTCCCATTATGAGTATGGGGATCATAGGCCCTCGCAGCAGCCCTGCGGATACTCCAACCCATGGGCCTTCTTCACCTGCACAGAAGTAGCCCAACCCATGGGCCTTCTTCACCTGCACAGAAGTAGCCCGGTCTATAGACCGTGGCTGCACAGCCGTTTTTTACAATAGCCAGGTTCCTCTGAGCACAGCCCACAAACAATACCCACCTCTCCCCCAGCTGACTTTTTTCCATCTCCCCTCTCCACCCACCCACACACAGACTCCCACAAGATCACCCTTTTCATGGCCCTCACAAGTGTCTAGTTTCACCTCTCCCTTCACCCCCCTGCCCCCCTCCCTCTCCCCCAAAGCACAATTGACAGGGGCAATGGCCGCACACCGGTCTTGCACCATAGCCAAGTTGCTCATGACATGGCCCATAAACAATATGCACCCCTTCACTTGGCACTCCCTGTTCCATCTGCCCGCTTTCCCCGCCCACACACAGACTCAGACACGATTACCCTCTCCATGGCCCTTACAAGAGTTTGGCTCCACCTCTCCACTCGACCCCCCCTTTCCCCTCTCTCCCAACCAGCACACAGACACACACCACAACCTCGCCCTGGCTCCACTAGTTGTAAGGGCTGTCAGTTTCACAATTTACTGCCACAATAAGAAAAAACTTATGAAAGAAGAAAGAATGATTGGATATACCTTGAGCACACAGTCATAATACCTTGAGACATAGTCCTCGGCACGCTGCTTTACCTACATTCACCAGCAGTGACACAATACCCATGTCAACGCATAGAGGACCAGTAAAGTAGAAGGAGGAGGAATAGGAGGAAGAGAGGGAGGAGAAGGAGCAGGATATGGTGGTAGAGGAGTAGGAGGACGAGGAAGAGGGGCAGGAAGGCGAGGAGACGAAGAAGACGAGGAAGAGGAAAAGGGGAGGAAAGGGAGGAGGATCATTATTACTTGTACCATTATGCTAAGTGATTACCGCTATGATACCAGTGATTGGATCTTTGCAAGACTGTCTTTTCGTCTTGCCAGAATGCGATGAAGGAATTTGCTCCAGTCACATACACTCAATCATTGCATCACAAAATCTAGCAATTCAAAGAGCTCTGAGCTCTCATGCGTGCCCTGTCCAAAAGTTTCTTGATCCAAAGCGTCCTCATGTGTCCCTAATGGACCATTACTTCCCATGAATTACGACTGACAATAGTTCATAACCGTGAGCTATCCCATGGACTTCACTGAGAGATGGCCTTTGGATAGATCATCAAGGGGTAGCCTTCAGGCACTATAACGACGTTTGGATGCCATCTGCAGAAGCACTATATGCAATACCACCTCAGAAAGGATCCTTTCCTGTGAATACCTAAGACCACTGTCCTTAACCACGACTCATAGTTCATAAGGTGCTTTTGGAAGAGTCTTTGTACATTCTAGGGCCCAAAACTTCAGACAACTTGTCATACCATTTATAACAAAACCCAAGTGTCATTTTAACCAAACTTGCCACCAATTCATTGAGTGGACTCAGTGGAGACCATACTAACTAATTGCCAAAAAAAAACGAAAAATAAAAATAAAAACCAGCAATCTTGTGAAGTTTCAGAAATCTCAGCAGAGGAAATTCCAATGCTCCAAATTATACCAGATTTGGCACACATCAACCTTGAACCAAAACAAAAACAGGCAAAAAAAAGAAAACACATAAATTTGACGCCCAAAGCACCCAAACCCTAACTTCAGTTTTGGACCCGTTAGTCAGGAGCTGAAAGTGGGGGTCCCTGTTAGCCCCTTCTGTGCTAATACCAATCCAACAATGACTGCGCTGAAAGGTGAACTAGACTTTTTCAAGGACATGCTCAACGCTTCTGCCACTCCACTGCAACTAACTAGGATAAGTACTGCAATGACAAAGAGATCACCTAGAATGAAGCAGGATCTTTATGTATGAGTTTCCCTCCAGTATGGGTCTCCCACACCATCTCTTTCTGCTCCTTGATGCAAGCCCCACCATATCCATGCACGTCTCCATTATGTGATTGTTTTCCATAACTGATAGATCTGTCAGTCTGCTTGGGCTTCTATATGCTGCCAGTGACGAGGGATGTACTGCCAGCAATGCAAGAAAAAGGTGGCTTGGTTGCCTGTCTGGCATGGAAAACTGACCAATGGATCTAGGATAATCTGTTGTCTCTGATATCTGACAGGCGCAAGCACACTAGGATTTTATGAAATGTCATCTGATCCCAATCGCTCTCGGATCTATCCAAAAAGTACGAGTACGGCCTTAAGCTTCAATGACAAGTTCAGTTAGCAAATGAGGCTCAGTCTGGATCAGCTTCCTTGCACTCAGTCACTGTACTTTCCAGCCATAATGTAATCTTACGGCAACTTCTTCACTCAGTCTTTGCACACACACGAGTCAGCTCTACACAACTGTTCTCTTTTCATTCAAAGGCATGGTAACACTCTCCAGCTACAGCATTTCCAAGCAATTTCACATGTCTCTGGAAAAGCAGTAGCATTTTGCCACAGCCATGGAAGACATTTAACAGCTGAGGCTTGCCATTCCCAAGAGCTATGGATACTGGAATTGCCATTCAATCCCTGAGCATCATGGAATTTTCACACTTGCCCTTTGGACGTTATTGGTGGAGTGCTTTAGTCTGGTTCTTTGAACCAGAGGCATACTCCACGGCTCTGCTTTACCCTGGTACAAACTGTTTCGTTATCACTGTTTAACTAATTCATTGCACATGAGTTGACCGCTGCTTCACGCCCTTTGAATCCTCTCCTGTCAAGCTGTCCTGTGTAGGCTTGTCTCTTCTACTGCAATGACCAGATTAAAATCGTGCATAGAAACATGCACCTCAAGTCTGAGTCAAGGCCAGGAGCGAGAAATAGGTCTATAGTCCGTCAAAATGACCTTCAGTCCTATAGAATATGGTCTAGTCCGTGCCTCAGTCAAAGATTGGGGTAGAACCAGCATTGCAAAAGCCTAAGCTCGTAGCTTCCAATCAAGCTGAAGTTCAGGGCTCAAAAATGGCTGTGCTGTCTCTCAAAAGTCTCTAGGAAGTCCTTAGGTTGGTAGGCCTGCGGCCAAGGGTCAAATTGAGGTGTCCAGAAGCCTTTGGAATATCAACAGTCGGGCCCAACCCTGGTACGGAAGTCAAAGAGTCAAAGATTTCTCAGAAGTCAACCTCGGTAACAGATCACAGGCAATCCAAGGGTTCAGTGCAGTTTCGAAGGCCCACTCAGTCCAGGCACACACTAACCGCAACAATATCTCGGCCTTTATACAAAGAAATCTCACCATAAGAGAAGGCAGCCTGGCCGAGTCAATACTATAAAATCTTGGCTTGCCCCTGCTGAAGTGCTGCCGCTCACATGCCAGTGCTGGAAGAAGGCAGACAGAGAGACATGCAGCTGCCCTAGCTAGAGTGCTGAAGTGCTGCCGCTCACATGCCAGTGCTGGAAGAAGGCAGACAGAGAGACGTGCAGCTGCCCTAGCTAGAGTGAGATTGAGAGCGGTAACCCTAGCCAGTAGAAGATGCTGATGCACAGTCGATGCGAGTGACAGAAGAGGGGAGTTTGAGGGAGAGTCCAAGGCTTGGGGGAAGAAGATGAGCTTACCTGGGGAGTTCAGCCGTAGCTGCTGCAGAGAAGACCAGTGGTTGCATGTGTTCAGCATTCGTCGTAAAAGACACAGAGGTGGTGGCGTGAACTACAGCTTATCTGGCAACATGCACAGGAGGGTCTGAGGTGGAGATCTGAAGCAGGAGATCACCTTTATACAAGGGCCTGCAAGAAGAAAGTGAGGAAGCATACCTGCTGGCTAGCAGCCCTAGCTACCTGTACTAGAAGGGTGCCATAGGAGGAAGGACAGCTGCTCTCATTTTCCATGACTTCATTCTCTTGACGCTTGTGCTATAACGTGAGAGTGGCGCAGGTGTAAGTGAGCTCAAGGAATGAGAGGGAAAGTTACTATTGCTTCAGGCAGGGAATGTGGTGGTGATTGAGGCTGCTTCTGAAGAAAGACATTGTCATTTCAAGTTCCAGCACACTTTGAACTAGTGTGTCAGATTGGTCACGAAAGAGTGGGAAGATACATGCCAGTTGGTACGGTGAGGACAGACAAGGCAGTAGGTACATGGGGAAGGTGAGAAGGAATCCCATGAAGAAAAAGGTGAAACAATTTGAATATCGTACTTATTTCATGCTATAGCTCTTCTTCACAGTCTTGTTGTTCATTGGTGACTCAATCTGTTTGTTATCATTGAGTTGAGACTTGTGAGTTCAGGTGAGATTTGATCGTGAGCTTCTGAAGTTGGGTTCATTACACTTCTCTCATCTATCCCTTCATGCCAGTTTTGTGTCATGCCGCATGCAAGCAGGATGTCTGCCAATCTCCTCAGAATGTCTCTATGTGTGACCACTACTACCTCAATCCTTTTTTATATCTCAAGAAAATCTGGGTGAGTTAGTCTGGAGCACAATGCCAAGCTCATGACAAAGAAACAGAGAGCAAGAAATGAACAATGGGAGGATACTCAGCAGAGGCACATAATTATTTCCTACCTGATTAGCCAGCATGGCAGAAGTGAGAACTGGGCACTCTGGAGTAGCACCATCATTTGAATGGGAAAGAACCGATTTCAAGACGTCTGCACAATTGGATATGGGTGGTGGCTTTCCCACAGCATCTGGTTCATTGCCATTGAGAAAAGATGACAGAGCAGTAGACACGCCTGCGAACAGAAAATGGTTGTGACACTTTGGGCAAACGAGTTGCAGAGGTCCGCAATGCCGATAGCTGCAAAGACACCATTAAGCATCCATGAGAAGTCAAACACGGACCGCAATACAACACTACCAAGGAAAATAGTCCGTTGACTCTTCACTCTGCACCTGGCCCACCATGAAAAACAGAAAAGCAAGCATCTTCGGAATTACTAGACCAACGTGCTGTCAGAGCTGACGGAACTCGTTCCACGAAATGACAACAATCATTTAGATATGTAGAGAATGACAAAAAACACATTATTCATCATGCGACCACCATTGCCATTGCATTGGCGACTAAGGCCAAAGGGCCAGCCGGCTCTTATGGTCGCCTCTTCAATATCTCTGAGTGGCATATGAGAAAAAGCTTGTAGCCCAGAGCAGGTCAGTTAAGATCCCATCTATCTCAAAGTATTAGCCAAGCGACAATCTCTCCTTCGTTAATGGCAGTATCACTACCCAAAACCACAATTCCCACACTCTCAGTTTCTAGATTCAGTGCCATTCCCCTTAAACACCACTGGAAATTTTGACCATTTCTCCAGCTTGAATCTTGTTCAATCCATAAACACGTGCAATTCCATCTCCTACCGAAACAAGACAGATTTGTCCCTATACTCTTAAAGCAAAGAGCGGGTCTCGAGTGACGCTTCCCATGCGAGACCCCGTTCTCAGTTGGGCCCAGGACGATTCGGGCCAAGTTTTTTTTTTGGTCGACTTTTGTTTGCAGTTTGGCGGCGAGTGTTCGAACATCATTTTTCGGCGGTTCCTTTTTTTGCACCCAACAATTATTTCGAGGCTGGCAGTGGGTGTTTGAATATTGTTGACATTATTTTTCCGAGGTTGATTTGGCCCTGTGAACGGAGTTCGAGTCAGGCCGCGGCTGTTCGGGTGAACGGAGTTTGAGTTCGGCGACGGATGTTCAGGGTGAGGTTGATTCGGCTATGTGTGAATGGAGTCTGGGTGGAGCGATTGTGCAACAATCGTGTGGAACAGTCGGGCGGAAGGCTACGACCGAGCAGGTGCATTGCCAGAAGCGGGACACTCTCTCTCTCTCTGTTACATCTTCGACGCCACACGGGTCCTACCGGACCCGACTTAGGGCTAGAGGGACACACCAGGGCCTAAAGGCCCGACCTCGGGGTACTACAGGCCATAAAGGCCTCACCTTGGACCAGACCCGACGGGCAGGCCCAAACGACATTACCGTTTGGGCCTGGCGGCGCTCTTGAGGCTGCCGCCCGCCGGTTGGGGCTGAACCGTCCATCTGGACGGTTCAAGGCACGGCCAGGCCTCGCAGCAGTGAGGCCGGCCTCTGCCCACCGGTATAAAGAACCCGTCCGGCCTCATTTCGAGGCATCGACCTACCGGCATTCTACCGGTACGGTATGGTACAGCGCGAGATAGCGCTGGCGCTAAGTTTAGCGCAGGAGCAGCGAGGAGCAGCAACGCAGCATTAGCGCAGCAGCGAGCGAGCAGCAGCAGCGGCGACTGGGTGTGCCGGCGGCCATAGCCGCTTGAGGTATCGGGGTTGGAGGCCTCTCTCCTCCCTCCCCTCGCCAGTCCCCTCTCTCGGCTCCTTCTTCTTCTTCTTTTTCTTCTTCTTCTTCTTCCCCTTTTCAGACTCCATCTTTCTCTTCTTCTTCTTCAGATTGGAGACTTATACTACTTGGACAGAGATCAGTATTGGACTTCGGCGGTATGAGACTGTGGTACTTACCGGATTGGAGACTTAGAGATTGTTGGGGTTGATACTCGGCTGCATCACAGTTCGGACATCGGTTACATTTGGATTTGTACCTCCGTCATGGGTGACCTATTGTCCTCGACATTTTGATCTTGTTGGATGACATTTTGGACTACCATATCGGTGACCTATCAGATTCTATCTCGGTGACCTTCGGTGCTGTCTACCTCCCCCCACCTCCTTCGTCTCTCCTCCCACCTCTTATCTGTGTATGCGTGTACGAGGTCTGGGCATCGTCTATGCTTGGCCCAGACCCCACCATCTCACGATTGTATGTGTGTGGAGTGATTCTTCAGTCAGTCCGTGTGAGTTAGTCTATGTGAGTCAGTCCCTGTGAGTCAGTCTATGTGAGTCTGTCCGTTTATCCGACTTCCGCTGCATTTATGCTCATCCTACATTGGTTGATCTTTGGTTCTGCCCATACTCATTGAAGTATGTAACAGTCTTGGTATCGGAGCAGACCAATAACGGATGTGCTCACCAGGTAAGTCCGTTTAGAATTAGATTATTTTGATTGATCTTCTAAATTGGCGCTCAATTATTACCGAGATTAAAGTTGCAAAATTTCTTTTTTTCGGTCTTCTGGTTATTTCGGCATTTCCTGTTCAATTCAGTATTCAGACTTTTATTCGGATTTCTGTTGTACACCGGTATGCTGTGTAATTAGGATCCAAGAAATTTATACTAATCCAACATTCTGTTTGATTCGGATTTCTGATTCTACGCGTATTAGGGTTGAATCAATATCATGTTTGAAATACGGCTTTTCTGATTTCCATTCAGCATTCCGTTTTTCGGCATTCTGTTGTAAATCCTATATTTCRTTTTCTTTTGGGATTTCCGTTGTCTTTCAGTATTGGAATTAGGGTTACGAAAATCTTTTGGGTTTTAGATCAACTTGGGGAAATTCGAACGTTTTGGGGACCGTAAATCCGGAAATTTCGCGGAAACGCGGAAAATAAAGGTTGGGACCGAAATTTTCGCGAATTTTTTTTTCATTCCCCTTGTTTGAGAAATTCCGAAAATACATTTAGGCTTTAAAAAATCGGATTTTGACGGTGGAAATTCCCGAAAATTCGCGTTTTTTCGCACTCTAAGCCGTATCTGACCCTCAAACTGCAACTTCCGGGTAGTTCACTCATTAACGGTGAACTCCTGGACTCAAGTGATCTCAAAGAGACCTAATCATAACACCATTCAAATTCGTTATTATCATTAAGAATTATTATTTCGTTATTTATCATTAATTAATTTTACTGATTAAATCGTTATTAAATTCTTATTACGAATTTTGGAGTGATTTACGGAAATTTATTTTTCTGTTTGATTAGGTGTCTACAGTCCATCAGTGGGACAGGGGATTGTATGTATATTGCTTGATTGTTCTACCCCTGTTCCCACTCTCCCTACCCCCCTGTATTCTGTGAACACCGGCACCTCTCAAGTACCGCATCAGTTCAGACTGATGTCGATGGAACAGGACACCGGGGCACTGCCACGGCGCAGTGCCAGGATCGCAGTTTGTGCCCGCCCTGCGGTACCTCCAAGACCCAAGAGATTCAGCAGACGGACGACTCCAGCGGCATCAAGTACGGCATTGACAGTACAAGACACCACCGGAGATCTTCCCGCATGCCCGGTCCGAGAGGCCAGCGAGCCTTTTGCTGACTATCGTGGGCGGCTACAGGCATTTACAGACGCCGTAGCCGCCGCCGAGGCTCAGCAGGCTGCGGCAGAGGCAGAACGTCAGCGGCTGGCCAATGAGGCGGCAGCCGAAGCTCAGCGGACAGTTGAGACTGACGAAGTGGCACGAAACAGACGGAATGCCGCCAGCACGGAGTCCTTGATTGCTAGTGAGCATCAGTGGACAACGGTACTCCAAGGCATGATCTTTGTGCCTACGGAAACGCAGGCAGAGCCGACACAGGCGGAGGCAGAGAGAAGTAACCTGGCTACTGTGATGTTGAACGTAATGAGGGGAGTAATGTGGAACAACAAACTACTACAGGCACACCTGCACGCGGAACGACAGCAAAAACAGCACTACCAGGAAGACCTGGCCGCTGTAACGGTCGGTGTCCGCGACGCAGCAATGCAGCAGCAGCAACAGC